AAAACCTGACTGGAACTTTCGAAGTAGGTACTGTCAAACAGACAGAAAAACAGAAAGACCTACGGTAATTAATAGTAACAAGATTTTACGTAATACACGTACATATCATACCCAATTCACATAATATCCCACTTTCGAAATGTCTCGCGATTAAGGTACTTCCTTCCAGTGACGTGAATAGTAAAATGTCCTGCTTTTGTATACGTTGTTAAAGCAATAGTTATAAATCATGAATATATTTTCGGAGTGGTTGATGGTATCAGAATAAAATTTTGTACATACAGTACTAACAGTAAAAATTGTTTAGGCTGTAAGTACACCAGTGGGTTACAAACTATAGGAAGGAAAAGAATAATATTTCATACACCACTGTCATTTTAGAGGTATCTGTTGCATCATTTAGATAAGATGCTTAGTGGTACATAAGTTCTCTGTCCCCAGAATTTTTTGTCACATTTTGAAGAAGAAAAAAAGCTTTGCAGATGGGTGGCTGACTTGATCTCTGGCCGCAAGATATCCTTCGTAATTGACGGGTTCTCCTCTTCATCCCACAACGTCAACGCGGGTGTTCCCCAGGGATCGGTCTTGGCTCCGACACTGTTTCTCTTACATATCAACGACCTCCTTTCCTACACGATCAACCCAATCCACAGCTCCGCTGATGACAGCACTCTACATGTACGAATTCAGAGTGACAAGCCGATCTCTGTCGCTGAGTTGGAAAAAAGAAGACTAGCGATGACTTCCTTTCTGACAAGAGACCTGGAGGCTATCACTGCTTGGGGACGCAATAATCTTGTACAGTTCAATGCTTCCAAAACACAGTACTGAACTTTGACGAACAAAAAGCGTCCCTGCGCTCACCCGGTTTCGATGGATGGCCGAGTTCTGCCAAAGAGCCATTCATTTCGGCTGGTCGGAGTCCAGATCACCGATCGCCTGATCTTACATGAACACATCTCGTCAATAGCTGCAGCCTGCTGCTACATTATCCATGCTCTTCTCTAAGGGGCCGTTCAAGTATTACTTGAGCACTATGGGGGGCGGGGGTGTCTTTGCTTTGCTTATTTTGGATGACATGCGTGGCAAGGGAGTCTAGATGATGATTACGTCATCGGTAGTTATTTACTTCTTTACACGAATGGCGACCCTCACATTGTCTTTGCTTGAAAACGAAATGCATTTTCGGGGATTCCCGCAAGTAATGCATACGTTTAGTGCACAGCGCACGGTAATTCCCCTACTCGCTTTAGAACCGAGTAGGGGAATTATCGCGCGGTGTTCGCTTGGCTAAATCTCCTCTAACAGTGTATTGTTTTATTTGGATACTATAGCGAGTAGACGTATTGTAAGCATAGTAAAGCAAGTTAACATTTGTGTTACCATTGATTCCATTAGCCAAAGTTTAATGTTGTCGTTTCACATAACAGACAGTCTCGGGACTCCCTCGCACCGGCGGGCCGTCGGCGATCTAGCTCTTTTCTATCGTTACACCAACGGGGCTTGCTCCTCAGAGCTCGCTGTTATGATGCCGCCACGCGATGTGCCTGCCAGACAGACCCGCCTGACTTTAGCGTCCCATCCTAACCGTGTCGAACTTCGTAAATCCAGAACTGGCCGATACGACCGTTCCTCTGTCCCGAGGGTGACGAGATTATGGAACAATCTACAAGAGGAAGCTTTTCCCAGTTCTATTAATCTCAGGCAGTTGAAAAATCGTATTAACAAAATTTCTTGGGGATCATCATAGCAGCCGCGGTGTTCCGGCATTTAGGCTTATGCCTGCGCGGCAGCTTTGATATACAAAAAAAGTTAGAATATTTTATAATATAATCCATATAAAAAACTTAAATCCGTTCTACTCTGAAAATAAACTGAAGTTGGGAAAGTTTAACATTGAAAGCTATATGTTATTAGAACAATCCTACTTTACCGTAGCGTTATTTTAAAAATTTAATATTGGTATTTCCAAACTTTAAGGTTTTTGCGGCTCTTAATGCCAAGAAGTGGTTAGATCTGTAAAATCTAGAAAGCAAGGTTTCATATTTTTTTAGACATACATATCGATGGAAATGACTGACAATGATTTTCGCTGCCGTTCCTCATGCGTAGGAAGTGGGAAGTAAAATTCTCATGAAATGTTCCACAGTAGCTCTGTAGCAAGTAGAACAAAAATCGCTTGCATCCCACCAATTACGACTCCAGACGACAAATGCGGAACTCTGCAGTGAATTGCATTAACATTTAGACCGATTCTCATTACCCTGCGGACTAAAACTCTATAAAGTTGAAATACATCTATTACTGGCGAATAAACAGTAGACAGTGCTTGGCGTAACGATTTTCCTTTCGCTTAAATTTAACAGCTTCTTAATTTAACAGTTTGAAACACTGGCAAGGCAGGCAGGAAGTTCTACCTGTGTAAATCACAGCGAGTTAGTTGGAAGTACCAGCCGTTTAACTCGTTAGCAGCTGACAATGACATACTGTAATTGCCTCTCATCTCCATAAAGAGGGAGCCAGACTTTCCAAACTTGGACCCTTCTTCTGCCCTAGAGAGGACCGAAAAAAATGTTTACACCTTGTTTGGATTGGTTGTCCATCGGATACTAATTTGCTGAATACAGTCACATACCTAAATAGATTAAATTGAAAAGCATTTTCAAGCCGGTCTGTCCTGAAATTAACTTAAAATGTTGCTCCAACAAATACTCATTCATGAATGAGGGCGATAAGAGGGCGTTGATGGCGACATAACATCAGGAGTGCGAAGCGCCGCAGGCTCTAACACGTCAAGGGATGGCTCTGAACGTTAATTATGCCCGAGACACAAAATTGTGTGTATCTATGGCATAGAAAACACCGTAGGCTGAATAGTAGTACTGCATAAAGTACACTTGACCTTCTTGTAAATAGTATGAGATCGGCTAAAAATCAAAAATACAGCTCTATGGCATGGAGTATGTGGGCTCAGCCCCCGTTTTTCGAAAGTAGGCGTCGAATTAGCGTAAACAAAGGACTAGATCATAACTTCTGGTTATTATATACAAGTAAGTTAACCGGAAGTTATCTTTACACATCATTCCAATCTGAAACGTTGCTAACCACGGGCGGAAATTAAGGCAAGGCCTCGTGACGCTGGCTAATTTATTATTCAGTAAATCCAGAAGGGTATAAGTATAAATATACAGGTTGTTTCAAAAAAACGTGGCGTAATGTTAAAGGCATATACTACATCTAATAATAACAAAAAATTCCTACACACATAGATCCTGAGAATCCATGTGATGAGGAAGAATATATCAGTTAACCAAATAAGTACGTGCGGTTTTTAGTACAAAAATATAAATTTTTATGAGAAATAATAAGACGCTATTTATGCGTCGAAGTAATTACCATCACATTCAATGACTTTTTGCCAACGTGGAACCAATTTTTGTATGCCGGTACTGTAGAACTCCCTGGATTTGGAGTCAAAAAATTGGCGGACTGCATTTATTATACCATCTCGAGTTGTGAACTGTCGGAGCCTCATACAGTTGTCAAGAGACAAAGAAAAGTGATAATCACTGGGCGAAATGTCGGGAGAACATGCGGGTGCGGTAACGTTTCCTAGCCGAGTTCAGAAATTTTTTCTCGTGTCACTTTTGCGGTATGAGGCTTGGCGTTTTCCTGCAAGAATATCACTTTCTTCCGATTGATCAAAGAAGGCTGTTTCTGGATGAGTGCTTCTTGTACTCGTTGAAGCTGCTCACAATACAAGTTAGCAGTGATAGTTTGACTCCTTTCCAAAAACTCATAATGGACAATTTCAGTTGATGTCCACCAAACACACAACAAAACCTTGTTTGGGTGCAAGAAAGCCTTGGGCGTGTGTGGTGCCGAATCAGTAGGCGACAACCAATGATACGAACGCCTAGAATTCGAATACAAGATCCATTTTTCGTCGCAGGTTAATGACCGATTAAGAAATGGTTCATTAGCGTTGCGTGAAATGTTTGCTGAACAAATGGTCAGACGACTTGATTTGTTATCATTTGTCGATTCATGTGGGACCCATTTGCTTAACTTCCACGTCTTTCCTAGCTGATGGAGATGCAAACATTTCTGCACGTTCTTGGCACGTTGTCCTGGAAGTTGCGTCCACAACATGTCGAAGATCCTCGTTGTTCATAATTTTTGGTCTTCCTGATCGCGGTTCATCGCTCAAACTGACATCTCCCGAAGAAAATTTTTTGAACCACTTCTGTGCTGTTCGATCACTAACGGAATCATCTCCGAATGCGGTACATATTTTTCAGCAACTTTTTATGTGTGTGAGAAAAGAAGGATTCATACTAAAGTGACAACAGGTAACAAACAATCGCTATCGATCAACGACATCCATGGCAATGTGCGATATTTAGCAACCGCACGAACTTATTTGGTTACCTGATAGTATGGACAATGTATTTGTACAAACCTGATCTTGTACTAATAGACAAATTCGTAATAAAACTAAGTCTTGTAGAATGTTTCTTCGAACAACTCACTGTAGAGAAAATTTTCAAAATTAAATTTGTCTTAATGGTGAAACAATTACAGTGACTAACAGTACTAGATTTCTTGGTATCGAATTAGATAATAACCTTAGGTTAAGTTATTTATCTTTAATAATATCATAAGGCCATCTAATTTTTCCGAGAAAAATCCTAAAAGCACGTTGCTAACTACTATTTAAACCGGAAGCATGCGTACTTTGCATTGTGTTATTTTGATTTTTCTCACAGGAAAAAATTAGATGCCCAAATGGTATTTGTCAAAACTATTTCCTGATTATTCTGCATACATATAGCTTACAAAACATACTACCTTACTTGTTATCAAAGGAATTGTAGCTTGGTGACAACAGCTGTCAAGTTTAGCAACGGGCAAACTCGAAAAAACTGCTGACAGGTGCTGTCATACAATTTTTCCGTCTAGAAACCGTTTCTAGTTCAAAATTGCGCGTTTTTGAATGGTAGCAATTAAGACGACAGAAATAGTCAGCATGAAAAACACAGGCTATGTTTCAGATGTTACATTAACAAAAAAATAGGTTCTTATTTTTTTAGGGTTTTAGGAAAACTTGCTGTGACATATGCAGGATGATATTTGCTTATGCTGCATAAGTATGCGTAAAACTGATGATATTCCTTTGTTCCAGAATCACTGCCAACAAGCACAGCGGAACACTCAGCGAGTGCCACGACTGACCAAGCAGGCCATCCGCCCTCGAACGGCATGGGACACCCTCCCCCGTCTCCTTCTCAACAGCAACAGCAACAAGCGCCACCTGGCGGGTTTCCTGGGAATCCGCCAGTGCTAGAGCAACGCGAACTAGACATCCCGCACACTGCCACCATACCGCCCTATCAGTTCTGGAACTCCGAGTTTAGGAATAAGCAACCTGCCTTCATCAGGTTCAATTTTACGGTGCCGTGGGGAGCTAATTTCGCTGTATACGGTAAGTTCTTTGTTTATTTATGTCCGAAATCTAACAGCTACAGCCATTTGCAGGTCGCAACAAGTGAGATCTAACAAAAAAAAACAATAAAAATAAATGAATATTGACAAACAAAAAGCTATTGTAGCAATTCCTCGGCCTAGATAATTGTACACCAATGGTCGCTTCTAGTAGGTTGAGACTTTCTTGAACTGTCTAAATAATTATTCGATCAATTTTTCTATAATACAGAAAGGGTGGTATGTGATATTTTCATGAAGAGCAACCTGATAATAATTTTCAGGTTTCTAGCCTTCTTTCATCAAAATTTCCTACGTCCAGGCCTAATCCATCAATAACACTCCGCAGCTAGTCTCTTGTACATGAAGTGTTTTTCCTGATTTCACTTGAAACTGACCCCGATTCTCCAACTTCTTAGAACGTTAAATAAAAAAAAATGCCTGGCTGCCAAGTTTTTGGAGTGCTCGTGTACTTTACGGACGTTACAGTAGGCCATACCGATTGAAAGTTATTTCTGCCTTATAATACAATAAATAATATTTATACATTACCAGTTCCATTGATTGTTTCCCATTTTCCGTTCTCAGTATTTTTGTCGCACATCGGTATGTACGCTAAACCACTCTGCAGTGGCACAGCTGGATACCACACAGCAAGTAGTTCCTCGGCCTATGCGATTTTAGAGACTTCAATTTACCTGAACTCAAAAATATTTCAAGCCAGACGTTGAACACTATTTCGAGAGTATGAGACTGCAAAAGTCTGCAAAATATCCTATAAACTCGATTGTAAGATCAAAAACATCAAATGGATACTTGATTCCAAAAGGTATACTATTTTTTTTTAACAACGTGATAGACAAAACAGACGCTTCCACGAGAAGCCACTGAAAAGGCTACATAATGGTACAAGTCTTGACACAACGTCTCTACAATCACATCAAATCGACGTCAACAAGCGTCACAGATGTGACGTGTCTCGTAGGTTAGTTATTGGTCGTGTGATGTCGATAATCCAAAATAACGTAAAAATGTCATTGTAATAGACTACCCTTATATTCAATTTCAATTCAATTCAATTCTTTATTTGTATTAAATACACCAACGTGTTTACAAAAGTCGTAGGAGAAAATTCCAAAAGCAGTCTGCCAAATGACTTATGTTCAAATTGTTCAGAATATGCATCAATTCCTGATATGATACATGATCATTCAATAAAAGCAAATAAAAGTTATATAAGTTGTAGAAAAAACAGGACATATTTATACAGGGTGACTTTGAAGTTGAGTCATTAATTTTCAGATAATGATTGTAGAAGGAAGATAAACCAAAATATGTGTGTAAAAATAAAAAAAAATTAAAAAAAAAATTTTACCTTGTTTTATAAAGTATCCTCCCGACAAGTATTTCAGTGCGGACCTGTATTTGATCGTGAGGTCTTGGAGCACCGGCATGCCGTCCATATGTGAGGTCTTAAGTCAAATGATTCACGAACCCGTTGTACTACATTAACAAAGGCACGAGGGGTTGGTTGCACTCGATTGGGAAACCGATCCGCATAAACATGTGCCATTTTTTATTTCGTTTGAGCCACGCAACAGGCACCACTATTGACTACCGACTGACACTGACTGTATACAACTGAATGAAATAATTGTAAAAACATCGTTCCAAATTCTTTCGCTTTTTTGTTTCCGATGTGATGAACCGATAAGGCGGATTATATCCGTTGTCGCCAAACACGAGCACATAATATTATTATTGAGACAGAGCGGTACTCAAACTTCCAAAGGGCTATAACTTTGTTACTTTAATTTTACCAGAAAAATGGTAAAGGAAAAAACATTTCATTTGATCAGATCTACTCACTGTTAAAATAAATGACTCAACTTCGAAGTCACCCTGTATACGTACGTACATACACACATATATATATACACATAATATATATATATACACATACATATACATACAGATATATATATATATATATATATATATATATATATATATATATACATTAAAAGGGTAAGACATATAAAATATTGTTATAAACATTCACAAGAAAACTCGAGTAGAAGGTTGATGAGACTAGAGGAGCCGAGGTATAGGAATACTGTTATATTCGCTAACATTCCGACAACTCTGAAAAATTGTTGCTCTGGCAACAGGTTATAAAAAAGTATTCCATAATAGTTCGTGCCGTTCCTGATGGTTTGGAGGCGGCTATGAGGTACTAAGGCATTATAGTCTGGTCGTCCTTTGGATGCGTTTTCGTCCGAATTGTTTTCGTCAGAAATCGGACGAAGAAATGCGAATCATCCCGTTTCATTGAAACCTATTGAAGCTCGTAACACTGCTTCCGAACTGCTTCGTACAAATTTGGACGAAAACATGCGATGTGCGGTCTATCCAAAACAAATGGGATTATTCGCAGTTGTTATGACGAATTGATAGTCGATTTGTAACAGACCGTGATGGATGTTGAAAAATTAATTACTTTAATTTATGAAAAAAAGCCTGTGTCGGATATGACCGACAAATCATATCACAAGAGAGACATACAAAGAAAATTGTGGCAAGAAGTGGCAGTAGAAATCAATACTAAGGGTAAGTTAAATCAAATTTGGGTCTCAGGTATGATATATTTGCATACAAACAAAATATTTGTCTTTGTTGTTTATATTGTAGCAAAGGCATATAAGGCTCAGTGAAATCCGAAATGTATTTGAATATTTTATTGATTTTAAATTATGCATTATACAATTCTTGAGATGAAAAATAAGTTTTAAATTTTTTATCTCTGATATCCAAATCTTCCCGTTCTTGAATGTGGTTGATCAGCAATTTGCTCGAATGTACATGTTACTTGCTGCTCTCCTTCTCTATCAATTATAATGTTATGCAACAGGCATATGCATTTAATAAGTTTATCGGCAGATTCGGGATTTACTTCAACTGATTTTTGTAATAATCTCCATTTGCTACTCATAATTCCTAATGCACATTCAACAACTTGTCTTGCTCGAGACAAATGCTCAGTAAAAATTATTTCCGAAGGTCCTAATTTTGATACTGGAAAAGGTCTCATTAAATAAGTTTTGAGTGGATAAGCTTCATCTCCCAAAAGAACATGAGGTACTTTAATATTTGTTCCCGGCAGTGGACAATGTCTTGTAACACCTAATCCTCCGTTTTCAAGCTCTTGGCAAAGATTTGAATGCGAAACCGTCACTTTCTTTACCACCGTCACTTCTTTACCGTACGCTCCCACATCAATTGCTATAAATTTGTAGCTTGGTCCAGCAACAGCTTGTAAAACAATTGAGAAGTATTGTTTGTAGTTCCGATACATGCTACCGGAGTGCTTTGGATTCTGTATGCTTATGTGTTTCGCATCTATACATCCAACACAGTTTGGAAATTTCCACTTATTCCAAAATTCTCCAGATTTTTCGGAAATGGCATATGTACAGTACCCAACTTGTCCACAATTCTACCCACCGTGACGTCTGAAATTCGAAACGAATACCCCAATGTCATGAACGAGGAGCCCGTTGCCAAATACCTAAAAAAAAAAACGTGATTAATTGTAAAGTTTTTTTCTGTTTCAGTTGATGAAGTAAAAAATAAATGTAGGGGGCTGCGAGACACATTCCGAAAGGAGTTCCACAAGTCGAAAAAACAGAAATCTGGAGATGGTGAAGAATCGGTAGTTACCTCCAAATGGCCATATTATAAAATACTGTTGTTTTTATCTAAAACTGTTGAACGACGTAAACTGCATGGAAATATATATATCTCCGCAAAAGGAAAACAATAACAACTCTGATTCCGAGACAGAATTGACATTGGAAGCTACAAACAATGCAAACTCTCAATCAACCATTCAGGAGTCATCACAGCAAATTGTAAATACATATATACACCAGCCATCCACATCTGGTAATAAGGTTTAGAAGTACATTCAGTACTCCTAGTAGTACAACTTTGCAAAGTAAGAAAAACACAAACAATCGTCTAAAATATGCTAAGAATTCCGAGACAAATTCAATGGACGACAAGTTCCTCGAAATAGAAAGAGCCAAATTGGAAATATTGTCCCAACATAAAAATAGAGAACACAGTGACAGTGAACGCCAATTCCTACTGAGTCTCCTGCCCTTTTTAAAGGCTGTACCCTAAAATCGACAAATGTTGGTGAGAAGTAAGTTGCAGCAAGTATTTCTTGAAGAAGAACAATTATCTACAAGACACGCGCCCGGAGCAGGATATCGATCCAATGAAACAATTACATCAACACCGTTGCCTTCTCCAATGTCTTACACGGACACGGATTCCTCCAGAGCGACAATCTATTGTAATGACTTAATATCAACACCACATCATTCTTTATCTTTGAAAAATACAGAATCTTCCGGGGTCTCACAATATTCAAGTGAAAGAAGAGAAGATGTTTCCTATAAACAGCCGTTGTCCATTCAGAACTATGTTTCTCACTTCAGTGCATAAAACAATGTATTTCTTTTCTTTGTATTTTTAAATAATAAAATTGACAATGTTGCAACTACTGTATTTATAACTTACCTTAGAGTCACACTCAATCGTTCTTCTGGTGAAATAGTCTCACGGAAAGTCGACATTTTTTTATTGGTTCTCTTATGGCATCTAAAATATAGTTAAATGTATCCTGATTCACGCGATGGTAATCAAAAAACTTTTTCTCGTCCTTCTTCAAATCATCATATAAATGATGAAATTCTCCGAATTCTTTTCGTTTTGCTAATATGTCATGAACCCAACACTTTTTTCTTTTTAATTTTAATTGCCGTCTAACAAGATAACTATTTTCCAAAAGAAAATAATCCATACATACGACTGACTTCGTACAATGCGAAAACTTGTCTAGTGGACGATACCACATATGCGGAATTATTCCTCCGATTTCTGACGAAAATAATTCTGACAAAAACGCATCCAAAGGACGACCGGCCTTATGCATATTTCTGGTTCCATATCTATGGATATCACTGTGGGTAGTATATTGGCTCAGGTCAGTCTTTATATACATGAGACATATGAAGATGCAATGAGCAGGTACTGTCATGATTTTCAATTCTATGAAAGCTTCCTTGCAAGGTACCGTGTATTTGAGGCCAGCGATGTACCGCAAGCAACGTCGTTGTAAGGCCAACCATGTTGACGAATGGGCCGAGTGACTCCAGCTTAACAATGCATATGAAATTCATGATTGAAAGTAGGAATAATATGTTAGGAGAAGAACTGACTGAGAAACATTTTGTTTCAAGTTCCTTATCAAATACATATATTTTGCTAACGAACGGAGAACGTGGATTTCGTGAGTTTCCCACGACAAGTGTTCATCAATGTACACCTCTAGTAACTTCACGGATGTTAGTGTATTGGTATCGTGCTGCCTGAGACGAAGAATGAATATCTGAGACTTCGTTTTATTGATGGTCAACTTATTAGTGGCTAACCAGTTTGCTAGATTATTTTCATGAGCCTCACAGTCAGATATCAATGAAGTTAAAGAGGCATTGTTATTCACCAAGGTAGTGTCATCAGCGAAAAGGATTAAGTTACTATTCACGTTATAGTTAGTCATATCGCTTACGTAAATTAAAAATAAAATAGGTCTTATTACCGAGCCTAGCAGTACTTACCCCGTGAGCAACGAGTAGCTGTGATGATGATGAACCTTTAAAGAATATAAATTATCGGCGGTTACTTTATGATATTCCTGGCAGAATGTTTGTTGTTGGATTTATTAATGTAGTTATCGTTGGCTTTAATCTTAGCTTTGACAATTTCTTGTCTGTAACTATATTTAAATGTTTTCAAGCAGTCCGCACTAACAGAAGTAGCATCGTCTGTATAAAGCTCTGTTAGGAACGTCAAAGTTTTTCTCATATTTTTGATATGATCATTGAAGCAATACACATTACAGGAGCTTTTATTATCATTAACAAATCGCGATTTTATATGAAGATCTTAATTGAGCGAATTTCTGACAATAGATGTAAATTTTTCGACTTTAGATTGGATTGTTTCACCTTCTTCATTAACAAATTTGAAACATGTTGATTCCATATCATTGTAAAGTTTGAAAAGGCCGGTGTCTGTTATAGGTCTGTAATAGATTTTCCTACATGCTTTCGGTTTATGTGACGAACTAAAAGTATAATCAAGCGCTAAATGATCTGAATAATGAGTATCAAAAACATTAACGGTACGTTCTGAGTAGTTAATGAAGATGTTATCTAGACAACTTGAGTTGCTTGTATTTTGACTAACTATTGGCATGAAACCATAACAACTAAATAAGTTCAAAAGCTCATCAGCTTGGTGTGGTAACGTATTATATCTAACATTAGGAGAGATACACGTGTGCCCTTGAAACAGACAGTCTATGAAGAAAGCAACGTAGACATTAAAATAATTATATGAAAAAGTAATTGATTTTAGCTAATAAGACAAAATATGGTTTAGGGAATATACCAATAATTTGATGAGACACGTACACCTTTATCTGGACAACTAAAATATATTTATGTTGATCACTCAGTTTCAATTAGTTTTGAACTTTTTTTCAGGTCGAAGGAATGTGGCACCCAGTGTGACGCAGTACGACTTTGCGGAGTTCATTAAGGGAGGACGAGTTGACCACAGACTTAGAAGGAAGAAGAGAGGAGCAATGGAGGATGGTGAGTTTTAACAAAGCTCTCATTAAAAATGGTCCAGTCCTCATAAAACTTTGTCTGCTTGTCTTTCATAAACATGTGTCATTATTACCGTGGGCTCACCTCAAAGGCCTTTGCTGCAACCACACCTTCCGGAAAAAATACATTGTGCTCTGAAAGATGGGACTTTCATTTTCAGAAACAATTACGACTGAAAGAAAAAAGCAAATATGAAGTAAAGCGGCAGCGAAAAGTTAAAAAAGCTCTAATTGTTCACTTGATGAAAAATGAGGACCGCCCGGGTACATGTTGTTCATAAAAACTGTTCAAAAATTATTGCCGTTCAATTCAAAAGCATATGTTTGTTCAATTTGCAGCTTTTGGATCGGCCTTCTCCCGCTCTCTAGGTCCATCAAACGTTTCTGCAAGCGGCCTTTGTACGAAATAAACAAATACATGCGGCACGAAATGAAAACGTCCAGGAGCTGGATGAACAGACAGCTCGTTTTACCTGCACAAAGCATCGATTCGATACTGACGTCCTAATACCCTGCAATCTTTTTTGTAATCTAATAACTCGGTTGTCTTGCAACTTGGGCTGCAAGGGTTACCAGGATTTGTCTATTTTGCCAAAGCTATGCGGTGTGTAAATAAAAATCCAAACTTTACGAACAGCCTGTGTAGTTCTGGCTATTCGTCAGTAAAAAATTAGGGAATTTGGCAGACAGCTCGTACAATACCACGCGTTTCTCTACATGTTCTGTATTATATAATTTTCCGTGGCTTCCGACCCGCTCTATATCGCTTCAGCTTCAAAATTACCAAAAACTCTCCTAAAGTAATTATTTCATATCTGACGATCCTGGATCCTGCTGCGATTCCCAATTATCCAGCACGCGTTATCCTCTTGCCTCCAGTCCTATCCTGCATTCTCCCTTCCTCATCCAGATATAATCATTTCCTTTTTCATTAATCGTCTAACCCTTATCTGCCCGGGGCGAAAAGCGCGGACTCCAATATGATGACTGTCGTCGTATTGTCATCGTCTTCGTCATTTCTAATTCGGCGACATGTAGGGTGGAACAACCTGGACGTATAGTATTTCCAATACCGATCGAAAAACAAAACTCACAAACAAATGTGTGACCGTATATAAAAATGTGGTAACAGAATACAAAAAGCCTCTTACCCTTAGATTGCGTATAAAGGTTATAGTAAATCATTCTATCGCGACTATGATAGCAGTGATAGTATGAAACAATGAAAACCAGTATTTTGAGTACGTCTAACACTACCGACTCCCTTGCTATAAATGGTATACTAATAGAACATATTCAATTTTTAACATTTTGGAGTCAGAAAATAAAATATTCATCATTACGCAGGTTTGACCCACATACACGTATTACAGTTTGTTTTTTTAAGGAATGCCCCACTTCTTATGACACATTAAGATAGACCCTTATTTTGATAGACTGCGTGCCTGCTCTCTCGATAACTGGAGTAGTGAATTTTGTATCACAGATATTTTATAATACTCAGTTATAGTCTAATTCATCTATTTTTATAATGGTCTTGTTCCTATCCTGAAATTTAGGCCAAAGGTTGAGTCTGAAACACGATGTCCTTTAACCGTCCTCATAAATAAAGATCAAGACTAATTCAGTCTGGTGATTGGAAGGTCATGGAAACAGACTCCCTCTTCCAGTCTACCGCTGTTGAAACAGGGTGGTCAAACATGCAAAATGTACCTTTTCGAAAAAAAAAATATGGAACCCTGTATGGTTCCACTATGGGATCCCCAATTTCATTACTTTTTTTTTAATACAAGGTTGTTACCAGTTTGGTCAAATGGTTTCTGCGTCATAGCTATTTGTTTCAAATAATTGGATATTTCTCTAATCACAAGTCTCAGCATCCATGGAAACAAACAACAATTGACAAAAATTACAGACGGATATTATAATATAAATTTCATTTTTGAGATGTCTGAAAATGATGCCTGTAAGTGAACATGACTAAAATTTAAGATAGTTGTAGTACTATAGAGAATGTCTCTCTCAATATTTTAGAAACATGCCTTCAGATATCGTATAATGCATAAATACTTTTTTATGTTTTTGTTTAGCAGCAATACTCCGTCCTCACACGTTTGGAGCACCATGTATAGTGTGACAAATTCATGACTACTAAATAGTTCACTTTGTGTCACTTTGCTTGCAATGGCGACACTCTGGTCTACTCTATGTTGCTCAGCGTTTTTTTATAGGCACCTGAACTGATTATTTTCTTTTCATCAAACCAGGAGGTACCACCCCTTTGTTGTATCCCCTATACCTCCAGGGTACTCAGAGGTACTTAGCGCCTAGACTGTCTTTGTGGTTCAAGTATAAAGAAGTACTAGTGTAAAAATTATTAAAGTTACCTCTTTTTTTCAGATTTAGATGACCTGCCTTTCCAAAACCACTTCAAGCTGTCTTATGGAAGTCGAAGAGACAGCGACGTACTCGATGCAATTTCCAGCGGGTATGAAGGCGCAAGGAAAATCTTGGCCGATGCGGAACCTCCTAGGGAACCATTCTACGTCCAACCAATAAGCTTACAGGATCGATTGTCTCCTCCAGGCACTGACTTACCCAGGCCCGCTGCCTATTCTGGGTTAGAACCAGATCTGGGCCATGTGATAGAACGAAGGAGTGTTGATGGAGAACATGTTATGGGGAAGTGGTACCTTGATGCAAGTCATACGATTGGGAAAAGAGAGGCTGAGATGGAACCAATGTTGGTGAATGTCAGCATTTTGCAGTACTTAGATACCGGCAGGTGGTTTCTTTCGGTAAGTGCCTCATCTAAAAAAATATTAAGATAGCGTCAGATAATAACTCAAGGAGGTTTGTAGTATAAAAGCTGGATTCAGTACAAGCGAAATGATGATTACATGGGAATGTTATTTTTGTACCAGCAAAGCAGAATGCTGGCAGACAGAAGACGTACCAGCTTCCAAAGTTGTCATGTCGATTTTCCTTATTGAAAGGAACTGAAATAAGTGATATACTTTCGTTACCTTTGTGCATCTAGTTAAACATTGTTTCAGGTTTACAACGACGAACTTCAACCTCACGCTGTTTCGCTAGTAATTTCTGAAGCTGAAGGTGTTAGTACTACTTGTCCGAATGATTGCTCTGGTCGAGGTTCCTGTTACTTGGGCAAATGTGACTGCATTGATGGCTTCCAGGGAATAGATTGCTCCAAGAGTAAGTCTACATCTTACTATGTTATTATTCTTAACAACTTTTACTGGTGGCGACAAGTGAGTACCTAAGCAAAACATTTGGGCCTCTTATCCATAAGAAGTTTTCAACGAAAAGTTGAATTTTCGTGAAATATTATCCCTGTGCATCAGGTTTCGTAGCACCATGTAAGGTCACACCACTGATTTGTATCATAGCTGTTGGTAAATTTTCGGGATTGAAATTATGAATTACTTGGGGATCATCGACATAGATTTGTACATACGAGTATGAGTGATTTATTCGTTTTTGTATATCTGAAGTGTATATTAAAAATAAAATTGGACCAAGAACTGGGCCATGTGGGGCTCCGGATATAAAGTTTGAAATAGAAGAAACGGTGACCTGTTGCTTGCGACTTACCTAGTCATCAACCGGGTTTTCATAAGAATCACAGTACCACGACTTCATTTCTGAGTCTAGAAGCCGGAGTCGAGCAAGGGATAAAAAATTAGCATCGACAGCTGTTTCTCTTGATTACTCAAAAGAGTTCGACTGTGTTGATCATGACCTTGTATTTCCTAAATTAAGATATTATGGCTTTGATAATAACTCTGCATTATTTTTCAAATCGTATTTACTAAATCGCAAACAATAGATCTCGTTTCTTCTATTTCAAGCGTTATATCTGGAGTGCTGCAAGGCACAATTCTAGGTCCAATTTCATTTTTAATATATACTTCAGATGTACATAAATGTATAAATCACTCATACGTACAAGTGTATGCCGATGATATCCAAATAATTCATAGTTTTAATCCGGAAACCGAACAGCTATGATACTTATCAACAGTGACCTGAAATCTATAAACCATCAACCAAAAATAGATAATTTGAAGTTGAATCTAAATAAATGTACAGCACTTCTCTGTGCTCGGAAAATGACAAAAATAAGGTTAAACAGGATTTCAGTATAGTTATTGATAATGTTAAACTGAATTTCAGTAACGTGCCCAAAATTTTAGGAGTACATATTGACGATCAGCTTTGTTTGACTCTGTGATTTGTCATGTCTAGTTGGTTTTCATTAAGAAATTGCATACACTCTAACAGTCGCCATAATATTTTGATGGACTTTAGTGGGCGATATACCCTTTTTTGCAGACATCTTATCAAGGACCTATTTCTATTAAAATCCTTATGACACACGGACCAAAAACCACATAACATCAAAGCAGTTTGGCATGTCAACCTAATATGTTATTAACATAGCTTGCTCTAGGCCATACGCTCCAAGCACTGGACTTTCAATTTCAAACCTTTCGAGGAAACGCATTTCGATAACAAACATGCGTACAATATTAATTACAACTAGCTTTATTTACAAATCAAACAATATATTTTAGCTCCAGCGGTTCTATAGTTCTATTCGACAAACAATCCACATATATAAAAACTCACGTTATTTGTGTCTGTTTGCGTACAAACGTGACAAACAAACTCATCGCATCCATTTCGACCGATTGCCTCATAAAACTGAGTCGCTAGCATCGTCGTTCGATTCCGGCACTAAAACTTCCAAAACTACTCCGCCTAAAATCACGGCCGCCTGCCTGTGCTTGCAGTAACAGCCTCGCGCCCTCGAGAAACGGTAAGGTAAAAACAAAAGAACGTCGACGGGTCGAAAGGAAGGTCAGAGGCGTAAGATGAGAGGAGTTTTATCCCAGATAAAGAAAACTCACTTTGTTGTATAGAGTTTCCTAAGCTGGATTCGCGTTATAGCTCGGCAGGGGAAGATAGAAATTCCACGACTCTTTTATAGATTGTACTTGTGACGTGTTTGGTATACAGGGTAAGCTTTCGTGTTCTTATAAAGATTTGATGTTAGTAGAGGGAGCAAGATTTGATTAGGCAGTTGGAAGTATGAGTACCACACTATAAGTGTCGACATATCCCATTGGGCTCTAAGGTTACTCTCATAATTTTCTTTTTCATAAACCCTATATAAAAAGCAATGAAAGGCGATGGCAAACTTAATACCAATAAAAGATAACATATTTCTATACAATTTATAGAAGGAAATACGAAAATGTTGCCAAAACGTTTATTTGACCCCAGTTCAACAAGTGCCCATGTTGATATAAGTAAAAAATGAATCACAGAAATCCCACACTCCGCACTGTCTCAAAGGTAGGGTAACGAAACTGCCATTTGGTTCGACCTGTAAAATAATAAGTGACAAAGCAAGGTAAACACCTACGTACGAGGTTTGTTCAAAAAGTATAGCGAATTTTGAATTTTCGCGAGCTACGTATGTTCGATTTTCTATCTTTTTGTGGCGTTATGTTGGTACTCACGACCCTCACTAATGTTGACAATATCGGCCATTTTGAATGTCTAGTCAGTTTTTAACAGCTATTGTGCGTGGACGTGTTTTAACATGTCTCCGATTTTTGTCTATTCCAAAAAAGGATCAAAGAATTTGTATTAAATTTTTTGTAAAAAAACAACTTGAACCTCTTATGTTTATCCGATTTTAATAATTTTTGGCATATATGTTCAGTGTCCCTTACTAGCTTGATTCGTCAACTGCAAAAGCTGGTTCAATAATGTGTTGCTGCTGGATCTCTTTATGACCACGCATCCTGCTCCTTACAGCACTGCTGTCCTGTCACCCCTGGGTAACTCAGACCACGGTGTTGTGGAGGTGAACTGACTGCAGAAGCTGGTTCAATAATGTGTTGAGGATCCATGATTTCTTGTACACTCATTGATAACGCGGATATCCTGCTGGGGTATCTCATTCCAGGCTACTGCAACTTCGTGAGTAAGAGCTGCTAAAGTCTGTGGAGGGTGTTGCAAATTCAAAAGCCTGCGACTGTACAGTCTACATCCAGCATCGGAAATGGAAGGACCTCTGAAGGAGCTTGCCACTCGTGCAAGCGAAACGTAAGGAAAAAATTCCAACAAGACAGCAGTTTATCAACTGGCCGCGAAAGCCTTAACCAATTTGTCTAACAATAAAAATGTTGAATCTATAACCCGAATAATTTTGACCCAGTTCTGTTTCAATAGTACTCGTATGAGTATACTTTCTAAAGAAAGGTGACTGCCATGAAAACTTGCGAACTTAGTTTCCGTGTCGGTTGTACTTTTGGCGGATTTTCTGCTGAAACCAAAACTGAACTGAAGTTTGCCACATGCATCGAACCTTTCAAGGGTCTGCAACAGGCGTCTGGCCCATGTGCCCGACCAGGAAGCCAATCCTTAAACTGAGGAAGTAGAATAGAAAACTTGGGCGGGGTATTATCGTACCTTTCAGGAAACTCTATTCCTGAACGATAATACAATAGTCATTAACCTAATCATTCATGGGAGAAAAAGTGCAGAAGTCTCGCCGTCATTTAGGCTTCTGTCTGCGCGACTGGTTCGGTGTAAGTTTTGTTTTTAAAATCGAACTCAACTTTGTCATAAAACGTTTAACTATATGAAAATCCTAAAAATACATTTACAAATTTATTTAACAAACATCAAACTTCACGTCTAAAGATTCCAGAAAATGTATTAGAACACGTTCTTCTAGCTGTTCCATGCTGTCACTTCAAGAATTGGGTCTCACGTCCGTTTTCAGATACACAACCTGCACATGTTGGGTCTGCTCTAGAACGGAAGCAATATTGCTTCCAGTGCGCAGATATGACGGGGCTTTTAAAAAGATTTAAAAGGTTACAATTCATGATGACGACCTCACAACAGGAAATGTGCATCAGGCCAGAATTCAAGACTGTAGGCCACGAGGAGTGAGGAATACTAATCCTCACAGCCTGCAGTGCCACGGGGGTCTTCGAGCTCAGAATAGGCCACACCAGCCCATCATTGTAGCATACTTCCTCAACTCAGAGAATCTCTTAAGTCGTACAAAGGATTCAAAGGAGAATCTTTTATTATTTTCCAAAATTTCTCTTCCTCGTTTCCTCGTCTCCTGTGCTATCACTAAATATGTTTTAATATCTCTCCACCACGAAAAACTCATCTCAAATAAAAAATTGTCTGAGGAACTACTCTCCTTACCTTTTTATTAAGTAGGTATCTATTCTTGCTGGAAATATCGAAGTAAAAACAAAAGCAAGGAGGATTATGTTACTTTTGTAATCCAATGCTAGGAATGAATCTTTTTTGTATGTAGTTTTTTGTTGGGGAGCTCCGTATTGAGGATTCCTAGTAGGAGAAGATTTTTCTCTTGCGTTCTAAGAAACATTAGCATTATTGCAAAGCTTTGGAGATGTCATGCGAATATTGTCTCAAGATATGTTATATTAATTGCTCAAGTGCATGTGGGAGATTCAGAATTAAGCTTTGATTTTTGGTTCTGCTTAGAAATCTGGAGGCAATCTTTTGTAGTCTTCATGTATCTGATTTATTCGAGCTTTCAACAATTTTTCAGGCAATCATGTAGAATAAGGGCCTGGTTAAAAATAATTCCTAAATTTGAATTCAAGACTTAAATATTTCAGAAGTTCGTTTTAGGTTGTGAATCTCTCTTTGTCACTATGTATTTTTATGAGTCACTATTGTAGAAACTCGCGTTTTCATATTTCCTTGATGTCATTTTTTAAGTGTTTACTATAGATATTCAGGGCAAACAGAAGGTCTATGCCACACTTTCAAGGGGTGCGAATATACCCCGTTTAGAACACATTGAGCCACATATACCTTAGTACAAACTTTGATGGAATCCTAGGAAAAAACCAAAATCATGCGATAAACCATCGGATGTTCAGTAACGAAGAGCATCCAATTTGTTCTTTTATTATCATCTCAATATATGTCTACCTATACAAATAGTTTCCACGTTATCGAAATATCGCGTACACGTTATATAAAAAGGTGGTTTACCAAATGTCATTGAAATTACAAATAAAACATTGAACGCACTTTCCATGAAATAAAAAGACGGTGACAAAATTATTGATTCGTTCGATAACAAAATGAAAATTGTTATTTTCATGCCGTTGTTTCGCGTGCCTGTAGCAGCAGTCCGCTTACAAGAGTGACTCGGTTTCACATTACTGAGTAACAGAAGACTCAGTGG